GGCCGAGGTGTGGCACATCTAGGCCGAGGTGTGGCACATCTAGGCCGAGGTGTGGCACATCTAGGCCGAGGTGTGGCACATCTAGGCCGAGGTGTGGCACATCTAGGCCGAGGTGTGGCACATCTAGGCCGAGGTGTGGCACATCTAGGCCGAGGTGTGGCACATCTAGGCCGAGGTGTGGCACATCTAGGCCGAGGTGTGGCACATCTAGGCCGAGGTGTGGCACATCTAGGCCGAGGTGTGGCACATCTAGGCCGAGGTGTGGCACATCTAGGCCGAGGTGTGGCACATCTAGGCCGAGGTGTGGCACATCTAGGCCGAGGTGTGGCACATCTAGGCCGAGGTGTGGCACATCTAGGCCGAGGTGTGGCACATCTAGGCCGAGGTGTGGCACATCTAGGCCGAGGTGTGGCACATCTAGGCCGAGGTGTGGCACATCTAGGCCGAGGTGTGGCACATCTAGGCCGAGGTGTGGCACATCTAGGCCGAGGTGTGGCACATCTAGGCCGAGGTGTGGCACATCTAGGCCGAGGTGTGGCACATCTAGGCCGAGGTGTGGCACATCTAGGCCGAGGTGTGGCACATCTAGGCCGAGGTGTGGCACATCTAGGCCGAGGTGTGGCACATCTAGGCCGAGGTGTGGCACATCTAGGCCGAGGTGTGGCACAGCTAGGTCAAGTGTTATCCCTCCTGGCCGAGGTCATTGGAACCTTACTTGCCGAAGCCTATGTCCTAAGCCGAGATCATTACCTGCCGGAGTGCCCATGCCACCTTGCTTGTCATACACACTTTGTCATACACTTGTCTTATCTTTCAATCACCTTTTTGAGGAGAACCAATTCAGTAGTGCCACGTGTCCCTGCAGAGGGTTAAATCAGCCGGCAGAGAGAGAAAAACATATCATTTGCTATATCCTTGTCTTAGAAGAGAGAGAAGCTCTAGGAAGAGGAAGAGGAATTCTAGAGAGAGGTAGCTTTCTAAGCTTGATCTTCACACCTTGAACCGTTAGATCCGTATTTTGAGGTTAGATTCTTGGTCTACTCTTGTTGTTCTTATTGTTCATCTAGCTGCATTGCATGATCTAGCATGTTTCATGAGCCATGCATTGCTTTGAAGTTCGGTTTTAGAAAGAGAAAGTGATATTCATGTGTTCTTGAGGAAAAGCCATGTTTTGATCCGAAAATTTGTATCAAGATCCATGTTTTCGTGTTTGTTTTCATATGATCTTCAAGTATGGGTACCAAGGTCCATGTTTTCGAACTCATAGCATGAAATCCCAGATCTTGTAATAACAAGTTATGATTTTAGTATTCATGTTCTTCATGTTCTTCATGCTCATGTTCTTCATGTTCTTCAAGGAGGAAACCCAGATTTCCAGGCTTCATTTCCCTAGGTGTGATCACCGAGACCACTCTTGCCTAGATCACGCACCTAGGCCAAGCATCGTATCTCACTTTGGCCTATCTTGCATGATCACTTGCACGTTAGTTTATCTTGCATGCACACCTAGGCCAACCTCTGCACACCTAGGCTAACCACTGCACATCTAGGCCGACCATGGTACACCCTTGCCGGCGCCTTATAACATCTCGGCAGGCAGCTGCACACTGAAGCCTAGGTAACCACACCTCAGCCAAGAGGTGTGGGACCTCGGCCAAGACCTCCCGAGTTCACCCAGCTAAGTCATTTTAGCCTAGATCATCTCTGTGCATCCATTCCAAGACCTGGTTGGTACCCAGCATGTTTTCCCTAGGTGAAAAACAGTGCTTTAACTTCCAGCATGTTTTTCCTAGATCATTTGCATTCATCTAAAGCGTGTTTTTAAGAGTGCATTCAATACGCTTTGCCGTGTATTTGTAGGTCTTGGATCCTTGCTTTAACCCCGACGTCTGAAGAGCTATGTGAGTGGTATTTTTAATAAAGCTATATTATAAAGTTTTGATAAAGCTTTGCTTTGTTTTGAAAAGTATTTGATCAAGCATGAATGATTATCCTAAGTTTTTGTATCAAGTATTATCTTGTTTTGATGACATTCTTGGAAAGTCCTCCCATGCTAGGGGACTCTAAGCCCATGTAGCACCATGTTTGAGAGATCTCTGCCATCGACGGTCTGTGAACGGATGGCCCCACCGACGATCTGGTGTACAGGTGGATTTGTCTAATCGATTCCAGGTCGATTATTCCCTTGTTTTGTCCGGAATGTCATCCCCCATGTTGTATGTAGATGTTATTAAACATCCCAATAAGATTTGAAAGACCATGATTGATGAACTTGATTCATCCCACATCTTGTTACAAGCTATGATACGTATTGTTTTGATAAAGATCTCGGATATCATTCATTTAAACCTTTATTACTAATATCATTCACTGAGTATCCAAGCTCACTCTCTCCTTATATTTATATATATATGTAGGTGGCAAGCAAGAAGGCGGTGACGCCTAGATGTGTTGTTTTACAAGATATTTTTGGATACATGTTAAGTCGGCATCTTGAAGATTATGCTTCTTGACTTTATATTTCATGTATTTTGTATATGTCAGCTTGAGAAACCTTTTGATCAAGATGTAACATGTACTTTATTTTATTTGTATTCAAGTTGTAAAACCATGCTAAGATGTATGTCATTTCATTTGATCTATGCACAGCTCTTATAGACTACTTAGATTTAAATATATTGCCTCTGTACATGTAAGCCCCATATGTCTACTCTGATTGTGTGTGAATCTTTGTAAGTTGGCCTTTGATAATCTCAGATTACTGGCCATCACGGCACCATTCTACTAGGGACGGAATGGGGTCGTGACAGCAATGGAGTTGCATAATAGCGATAGTTGAGTTACACAACACCTATAGCTCCGATGGTGTTGGAGTCACATAACACCTCTCCATGATCTCTCTGTTTGATTTGCTTTGCTATTTTGATGGATTTATTTGTGGATATCTTTGGCATTGCCAATCCCTCTTCATGCCCTTCACCATTACTAATTGCCCCATTCTTACTCTCTTTCTTTATATATATATTGATCAATTTGAGTTGGGATTTGATTTTATTTGGTGGAATTATACTAGTAATCTTGTTTTTATTATTTATTTTGTCGTTGTAGGCTTCGACATGGTATGGGATTTTGCCTTTGATTTGCTATTGGCCTTCTTTTAACATTTGTTATTGGTGTTCTTTAACAATGGATACCTTTCATTTGTAGAAAGTTGCGAAAGAAAAAAGAAACCACAGAAAATGGGTCCAATATTCTCAAGGGTAAAATTGCCATTTTCTAAAAACTTATTGCTGACATCATCCCACAGTATTAAGTCAACTAATGGTAAACTAACAGAGGGGGCACTGTGTAATGAAATATTAAAATTAGGGAAGGCAATGTAATTTCTCAAACATCGTGGCAGAATTTATATTCAGTGCAAACCTCAAAGGGTGTCAGTGTAACTTACCCATATTTTTTTTGGAAGGCTGCTATTATCATTTACCTTTTACTTTCTCTCTCCAATCCTTTAAAGCCCCACCCAGCAAAATGAGTCCCCACAATTTTCTCTTTGAACCCCCATCTTAATACCAACTATACCTTCACCTTCACCTTCACCCAAACCCTAGCTCCCACTCCTAACCACCGCCTCCGACACTACTGTTGTTGCCTCCCACAGCCCACCTCCGACATTTCTTCTCCTTTTTCTTCTTTACCTCCTCTGTCTCAGCTCTGAAAACCACCATTGCACCACCACTATATGAAAATCATCTCTCACTCCATTGTCGTTTCCATAACCACCCACCCCCTTACCTCATCCTCTTCTCTTCTTCTTCTTTTTCAATTTGCAACCCATATCATGACCCAACTGCCATCAAATCCTTGGATCCTTCGACCTCATTTCCTTTTATTCTTTTTCTTTCCTCAAAACCCTAGATTTGAAATTGAAAATCAGGTTGTGATGGTAGTGGGCTGCAACGGTGGTGATAGCAATAACGAGGTAGATCACAATGGCTTATAGATATAGGGGTTGCGATGGCGATGGTCAGCGATATCTCTCTTGCAAACACACTCTCTACGATTGATGATGGTGGTGATCCATCAGCCCAGCGGCGATTGCAAAAAGCGCCAACGATGATGGGTGATAATAGTGACGCCGACAATGATGGGTGTTAACAGCACCGCAGTGGAATTAGGGTTAGGGTTTTGGAAAATTAGGGTTAGAGAGTTAAGGATTAAGGTAGAAATGAAATTTTATGGTTGGACAAAATTGAAATTAAAAATAAAAATGAAAGAGATGTTGAGGGAGGGGGGGATCATAAGAAATTAGATACTTGCTAATAGCCGCCCTCTTTTTACTTAAAATATAGATTATCTGACACCGACTCGGATGTAGTTAACCCTTTCAGTTTTTATGAAAAATGACAAATACAATGTTTACTTAAAATATAGATTATCTTTTATAATTTTGAAAATTACGTCTTGTCCCTGTAAATTTTTAATCACATAACAATGATCAATTTATTAATAAATCATCAACTCAATTAATAGTTTTTAATGGTATCATAAATATATTTCAATTAATAATTTAGATAATTTTTTCTATATGAGAATAGTTAAAAATATTAGTTTTTCTATTAAATTTTTTAAATAAATAATTTTGACAAAGAATATTTGCAATTTTCAGAATCATAAGAGGCAATTCATATTTAAGTAAATCTTAGCTTATAAGTCATACCCAAAACAAAACCAAGGCTTAGCTTAGTTGGCCACCATGCCTTCCTTAGGGCTTAGTTTCAAAGAGGTCATGGGTTCAATTCCTCTTAGGGGGGTTGAATTAAGGGAGTTCAAGTACTTGTGTGCTTTGCCAAGGGTAGGGAGATTTTCTCCCATAAGTGCTAATCTAACAACTAATATTTGCCGATCAAAAAAAAATAAAATTAAAAGCCAACGAGAAAAAAAAAAGCAGTCATATCCAAAGCAAACCAAAGTATAGCCATACCCAAAATAAATCAAAGTATATTTATAGTTTAGAAAATGTTATGGTGTGCACCTCTCTAAGGGTGCATATCATATGCACCATACTACAAAAGTGCATATGGTATGCACTTACATATTTGTGAGAACTTATGCAAGTATACATGGTATACACTTACACACTTAAAAATTTCCCATCTTGTACAAAAAAGTTGACATAAAAAAGCACATACGTGATCTTATTTTATATTGATAATAGATATTTAGTACAAATGCTCATGATACATCATTTTATTATAGTAGCTGGTTATCTCACATTGCAATTTGCAACTTCATACTATAGATAAGCCATAGCGTTGCTTGGACCATCACACATAGCTAATGCAATTAGGCATAGTTATAGTAAGCCCTGTGTTTCTCAATCTTCTTCTGAAGCTCTTCCTTTTTAACCCCAGTAACCTTATCAATGACTCTCCCTTTCTTTATCAGTATAAATGTTGGCATTGCCTGCACTCCAAATTCTTGAGCCACATCCTGTAATGTAATCCAAATTATTGATTGACTCATTCACTTTAGTCATTAATAAGTTCTGCTACATGCGTAGAAAAATTTCATACAAACAATCATACACGAGGTGTTGTGATTGTTTTTGTGAAATTCTTGTTTGTAAGCAGACTTTAGTATCTATAATTAGTCGTGAAAAAGAGCAATACCATCAATTCGTCCACATCTATCTTGATGAACTCAACGTCCGTGTATTTGGCAGCAAACTCATTAATAGTTGGTTCCATGAAGCGACAAGGTACACACCACGAAGCCGTGAAGTCAATAACCATCTTTAGTCAAAAACAGAAACCGAAGCGGAAACCAAAAGAAGAAGAAAACAAAGTACAACAGAGATCAGTAATATCAACTTTAACTACTAAACATGGAAAAAGTTCAGAAACACGAAACTGATAGTGTTATTGGATGAGGTGGGTTCCACAACCATCTGAAAAGGTTGTGTTATGTCCGATCTGTAATTAGTTTCTTTGCAAAGTACGTTTAATTAAAGACTTGAATAGAGTCTCACCAGTTTGGCAGTTGCTTTGGAGGCTTCAAAATGGGCCCTCCATCTGGCAGAGGAATGGAAAGCAAGAACCTGAGATTGGGAAGCTCTCACTGGTGAAGCGTTCATGGACAACTGTCCATTGGCTTGTGCATTTTGCATGGCAGAGAGTTCGGCACCCATATTCTTATTCCTGATTTTGAATGGCTCTGATTTGAACTAGGTTCTCTTCTCACTAACTTTTGTCTTTCAAAGATGATCTTTGCCTTGAACTTTGAGAGGAGGCTAGGTGAGTTTTTATATCGGTTGATGATGGTAATTAAATAAGTTTTAAAATCTAGTTTGGCATTGGAATCACATTCCATGGCACAATTTGGTACATTGAACTGGCGGCCGCTCAAAGGTTAACCATCTGGGTGCTCGGCTAGGCTCCCAATTATAGAAATGCCCTACTTATTATATTTTTGTAACTGGTATATTTATTTATTTAAATATAGAGTTAATTTTTTAAAAGTCTTATTTATAAATGTTATGGTAACTCGAGTCCAATTTAAGATTTTTTGAACCAGCAAATCCTATTTAGTAAAACTGAGAATATTATTAGTTTTTCCTAATTTTTAAAATTAAGTATATTATCAATTTTGCATAGTAATGTTCCTGATAATTATTTCACTAACTGATAAAAAAATAGAGTATGAGATTAAACGTTTTTGCTTTTCTACTTCCTGGTTTGATTCAACCATCCAATAAATCCGAGAACATTATCAATTTATTTATTTATTTATTTATTTATTTTTTAAAACTAAGAACATTATCAATTTTTTTCATTTTTAAAGCTTTATTTATTTATTTATTTTTTCAATTTTACACATCAATGTTCCATCATTATGCTCCTTTATAGATACAAAAATTTCAATTTCGCATAAAAAAAAAATAATTCAATTTTTTTCAAAAAAAAACTTTCAGTGTATTTAGTTTCAATTTTCTGAATTCAGATTTCTAGAAATTGTTTTTTGTATTTCATATTTTTTTTTATTTTTAGTGAATATTTTTAAACTTTTAAGAAATTTCTTTACTTCTTTAGATGCACCTTACTTAGATGCATCTAAATAGTAAAATATTTGTGAAAAAATATTTTTAACAATTAATAAATACACAAAAATACGAAAAATATATTGAATTTCCGTATTTCTTTTGTTTTTGGTATTTAGTAAATTTTTTAAAGATTTTTTTTCACAATTATTATACTTTTAAGTGTAGTTATGTTAGGTGTGTTTAAAAATTTAAAAAAAAAAATTTCTTAAAATATTAAAAATTCATTGAAAAAAAATAAAATAAATAAATAAGTAGAATTTTCTGAAAAATGTTTTATGGAAATCAAAACCAAACAATAGTTTTTTTTTTTTTTTAATTTGAAAGTTGATATTTTTCAGTATTGAATCCTTTATAGATAATCATAAATGACGAACAATCATTGTTTAAAGGGTAATTCTGACTATTAAAAATTTAATCGGACTTAAAGGTCTAAAAAATCTTAATTAGAGCTTAATGGAATATAAGTTCATAAATTAGAACTTGTGTGTAAATGTCCCTTAAATATATTGTTCAAAAAAATATGAAGTTTTATATGATTTGATTGATTGATTTTGTATCAAAATTATTTTAATTGTAAATAAAATTTATAGTATCAAAAAAATAAATATTAGTGTATAAAAAAATTATAAAAGCTTGCAATTAAAACTTTTCTGTGTTAATAATTTAAACAAACTCGTAGCTATTGTTTGATACAATTTATTATCTGAATTACTTAAAAAAAAAATTATTATGATTTTTTTTATTTTTGGAATTTATGCCAAGTTACCTAGTGGAGTTTATGTTCACAGCTTATTAGTTGGATATAACTTAAATAAACTATAAAATTTGAGGGTATGCCAAAATGGTGTGTACTATATTATTTGTGAGTTTAATTATCACAAATGGTATAACTCCATATCATGATAATCATAATTATAAAAAAAAAGAAAAAAAAAAGAGATACAACCAAACAATAAATCATAATAAAAATAATATCATACTAACCTCACATGATCCTATTTGTTTTGAGTGATAGGGGATGATATTGAATTAGCAATGAGGTGAGATTATGAGAGTCATGTTTGTTTGGACGAATGATTATGGGGTTTACCGTACCAAGAGATTAGAAATACCCTATAGTGAGGGGACTAACAATCTCAGGGTTTTGGGTGCTGTGACAGCAAACGCCACCATTTTGATTTGTATAATTAAAAAAAAAAAAAAATCAGTGAAAGCACTGATTTGGTCACTGGACATGGAAATGGCAGCTTCAAGACTTGATCAAATTGCTCACCATCATCCTTATCTTCATAAAATGAGAAGCATAATTTTAGGTGTATGAGTGAGAGCGACAGAGCTCATGTCGTGTGGGGCGTTGTCGTTGTCAAGGAGACGGAAAGAGGAGGGAAGAGGGGGCTCATTATGCACTCACCAAATGTCACCAGTAATATATATACATATATATATGCTCTATTATCCTTCTAGAAACTACAAACCCACGTGGGAAAGAATGTACATCTCATGTCAATCTTCTAAGGATTTCCTGTTTACAAAATACAAAATAAAAAAAAAAAAGTGATCTTTTTTATTATAAAATTATTACCAAACATAAGATTTGAATAAAGAAAAACGAAAAAGATAAAACATTGATCCATGATGATCAAGATCAAATTTAAATTTGAGGAAATATGACCAATCCGTGAGATTCATTACATGTTTCGTTTTGGAAACTGAACCATTCATTTAGTGTATAATATTTATAAAAAAAAAATTAAGTTGATCTGATAATCATAATCTTCTCCTCTTATCTCGTTTGTCTTAAAATAAAATATATGACAAATATGTTTTTAAAAATAGCCAATGTAATTTTTTTTATAGACAAATACGATAAAATAAAATAATAATTATTATTAAATCGACCTATTTTTCTCCATAAATAATATATATGAAAACTCCTACAAATAAAAAAAGTAAATTATCAAAACGACACAAGGCCTCATGGACTTGTCAAATTCTTTCAAATTCATATTTAAACCCGAGAAAAATTTAACACCACCTAGAACAACATAGTTGAAGTTGAAGTCATCTTTCAGAGACCTCATCCAGAAGAACTTTCCTGTTACGATTGATTTCTTCCGCTGCAATGAAAGAGTCGGTAAAAGCCACCATAAATATTAATTCAATTAAAGTAACAATAAAAAGTAGGAAAATCCATTACTCTAATGCATGCTTGTTTACGCTTATTACATGTATTGTAATGTAATTCCACAATTGGCAGCCTAGTTGAGAGTGTCAAGGCCTACCATTTATTCAGCCCACCAAAGTCCATTTAAAACTCACATAATTGTGACCATAAAAGTTACACCCAGGAGATGACAAAAAATAGTAGGATTAATTTGAAATTAACTAAAAGTATGACCTCCCTCTTCGCTCGCTAGGATATTGATGAGACTAGGGTCAAACTATCGCCCAAATCTCATTTTGAGAGAGATAATCCCACTGTTGAAAAATAATGGTTTCAGCAACTTTAATTCAAAATTAATGAGAGATTCAATCGCTAATCGAGATGGGTTTGAGTGGTTATGTATTCTCTTAAGTAAGAAGGTTGTAATATAGAAATAATGAGTCGAAATCATTAAGTTGTGAATGAGAATTGTCTCATAAAGTGGACACCAATAGAAGTTAGGTTTGGACCTAGGCTTGGAGTTAGGCTTAGTTTTAGTCTGGACTGGCTTAGACTCGTGTTTATGCATGTGTTGGACTTAGTCTTGGGCATGGATTAGATTGTGCTATGTTGGACTGGGTTTGTCTTGTGCATATGTTTTAGACTGGATTTGGATCGGGTTGTGACCCAACACCCATATCTATTTTACGACCCATCTAGTTGGATTATTTAAATAGCATTATATATATATATAATGCAAATGAAGTTTCAACCTTGTAACTCTTATCTTTTGATGATGGGGTTGATGATTATATTATGCAGATGAGAGTTTTGCACCATTGTCCCCTAATAGCTAGAGTTGATGACTATTGATACTAGGTTTTATGGTAGCCTTCATAGCTAAGACTTATTCCCTACGAGTATAAAAATGACCTATTTCCCTCCAACTTAGAGGGATGAGATAGAAATATTTTTGAGATAAAAAATTTGTAATTTTCTTTAGATAAAGTTAGAGAAGATTTTTATACTAGTTTTTTTTTTCATTTTCTTTGTACTAGCCCTTTCTTTGGTTCTTATTAGAGAGAGTGTGTTGTCATTGTCAAATTCGCCAAAACTATTCAGAAAGCACTTCTGCATTAACTGGTTTTGACCGTCGTATCTTGAGAGACAGACGTCGGTGTACCTCTAGCATTCATCATGAGAATTCATCTTGTAATATGTTCCCTAATGTAATTTAGTTTATTTATGTATTGTTAGTTGTGTAGTTTATTATGTATTTCATTCTTTAATAAATAAATAAAAAAAATTGTTTTGTCATTTCTATTTATTTAATTTTACATAATTTTTTTATATTATTATGAAAAAATACCATTCCCACTTTGTAGGGCATGTCTACGTCCCTCCTGTCCGGATCTTCACCGGGTAAAGGTTACTGTACTCGTACCTCTCTAATCTTTTTCATGAAGCCAAAAAATTAAAGTACGACCTCAAATATAATCAACTAAAGAAAATGAATCCATGTAACTAACAATAAGCAGCTGGAATAAAAACTTTGTTGAGTTCTAAACCACAATGCCAAGTTACAAAAAAAAAACAATGAAGATCACAAAGCTGCAAACGACTATGACCAAAAATTGAAGAGAACAGAACACCAACCCAAAAACCTCGTTTGCCAAACGTCGATAACAAAAAAGAAAATGGGGATGACAATCATATCATTAATCCAAAATGCAAAAACGCTTCCACTCAACCATCAATGAAAATTTTTAATCATGCGATGTCGAGAGGCTCAATTTGTGTACACTCAAATACAGTTCCAAATGCGATTAAATATAGCCGGTCTATAAGGTCTAGCTTAAGGAAATGGCTGAGCCCTAGAATCACAACCATTACCACTCATTTTGAAGGGGATGACGATAACAACAACAATTACAGCACTGCAAGTGAAAATTATTGATCAATATCTTCCCCCATGTTTTCTAAACTGAATAATTGAAGATAAGAGAAAGCAGGTTCACATGCCAGACTTAACATCATAATAGAAGGGGAAGTTTGTTTTAGACATAGATCCCTCATCTAGAGCTGGTGTGTCGTTCT